TAGGAGGTGTGTTTTTCCTATCATAATTAGGAAAGTTCACCTAAGGTCCAAGTCTTCTTGCCAGTTGCTATGGCAGCAGGTGTGATCCATCTTATTTGAGAGCAACTATGTGTGGTTTCATCTCGGCCGTTACTTTCAGTTCCAGGTAGTGGAGATTTTATCTCGGCCGTTACTTTCAGTCCCAGGTAGTGGAGAACAATATAATGTGTTCTGTACCATGGAGTCCTCCCTTTTCGGGTGTTGGCGTCCTTGTTCCCAGGTAACGGACCATGCAGTCCTCCCTTTCCTTGTCTATTGACGATGTTGAGACATTACCGTTCTTTCGGGCCAACTTCAGACCGACTCTCACACAGGCCACTGACCATTTCCCCTTGGATTGTGGGAGCTTCCTTCTGCTCCCTGTCCATGTCTCCCAGCTCAGGGGGCTGGGTACTGAGAGAACAACTGGTCTTACTATTAAAGACTGAGGCAAAGAAGGCATTAAATACCTCAGCCTTTTCCTCAGCCTTTGTCACTATGTTTCCTCCCGCATCCAATAAAGGATGGAGATTCTGCTTAGCCCTTATTTTGTTTCTAATGCATTTATAGAAACATTTTTTATTGTCTTTTATGACAGTAGCCAGATTAAGTTCTAGTTGGGCTTTGGCCCTTCTAATTTTCTCCCTGCATAACCTCATGACATCCTTGTAGTCCTCCTGAGGTGCCTGCCCCTTCTTCCAAAGGTCATAAACTCTCCTTTTTTTCCTGAATTCTAGTCAAAACTCTCTGTTCAACCAGGGCGATCTTCTTCCCTGCTGGCTTGTGTTTTGGCACATGGGGACAGCGTGCTCCTGCGCCTTTAAGATTTCCTTCTTGAAGAATGTCCAGCCTTCCCGGACTCCTTTCCCCTTCAGGACTGCCTCTCAAGGGTTTATGTCAACCAGCTTCCTAAACAGGCCAAAGTCTGCCCTCCAGAAGTCCAAAGTGGCAGTTCTGCTGACCCTGCTTCTCCAAGAATCGAAAACTCTATCATTTTGTTATCACTATGCCCAAGATGGCCTCCAACCATCACATCACCCACAAGTACTTCTCTGCAAACAAGTCCAACGGGCACCTTCCCTAGTTGGCTTCCTCACCAACTGTGTCAGGAAGGGCTCCTGACAATCCAGGAACCTCCAAGACTGTTTCCTCTCTGTTGTGTTGTATTTCCAGCGGACATCTGGTAAGTTGAAGCCTCCCATAAGAACCAGAGCTAGCGACTGTGAGAGTTCCCAGCTGCTTATAGAATATTTCATCTGCCTCTTCATCCTGGTTGGGTGGTCTATAACAGACTCCCACTATGATGTCTACCTTGTTGATCTTCCCCCTGATTCTTACCCATAAATACTCAATACTATCATCACCATCATTAAGCGCTAGACAAGCAAAACACTCCCTAACATACAAAGCCACCCCACTGCCTCTCCTCCTTTGCCTGTCCCTTCAGTTTAACACTTAGGTGGATCATTCTAATTAATGAGGTTATAGGATTGTAGCCATTAATAGATGAATGACGTTTGGGTTTCATTTTCATCATCTGCACATGGAGTTATGACTCTGCTTTCCTAATGACTGCTAAAAATTGCCACATCATGAGGGGAAAAATGCTGGAGACCGTCTGTGTGAAACAAAGATGATATGGGACATTTGGGAAAATATTTCATACCTTTTGTTGCTCAATGGAAACATCAGTACAGCCAGACATAGACCTTCATGCCTTTTGTTGCTCAATGGAAACATCAGTACAGCCAGACATAGACCATGAACAAATACTTCTTGCATCCCTGTCTGGGTGGTATGACACTGTCCCAGCAGTTCTGCTGATGTAAGGAACTTTTATCACTCCAGACAATGACAGCTGAGTTAGATGGAAGCACCTTTGTCAACTGTATAATCAAATTCAGCTGAAACATCTACTTGCGGTTTTAAGTTTACTCACTCTTTTGAACACTCACATACTTCTGAACTTTCAGGCGTCTTGGTATTATTTTTTCATTATCAGCTAAGTTGGCCATTCATAAGGTTTTCTCTTGGCCTTGGGCCTTGTTGTTTGAATTCACACCTTTGTGAATAGGCTATGGAAATGTAACTATTTTGAGGATAAAGATGAATTACTGCTTGAAAATTAGAAGTAATAATTGATGTATCTCGTGTTTGTGTCAAACTGTGGTTTAAAACTCTGATTGTTTCATTAATGATATAGATAATCTTATAAATTAAAAAGATTACCACTAGTTTCATGCACATTATTGAACTCATGCACACAGCTGTGTGAAATACATAAAATATGATAGATATGCTTTTCTCATTTGTTAGATTATTTATTAGACTGTATTATTTTCAGTGGTTACTATTTCCTAGCATTTCAAAAAACCAGCAGCCTAAACCATATAACAGCCTTGTTCAAAGTCCACTGGAATAAGTGTAGGAGTCACATTGACTCTCAATTTTTTATGTCATTCTGTTTTCATGTCATTTCAATAAGCCAAATTCATTTACATGAAGGTAGGAAGTAAGTAAATATGTATCTAGAGCTAATATGAGTTCACTTTTGTAATATAGTTATACTACCCCTGGAACAAAGAAAACACAAAGGTAAAGCTGCAGTGAATTCTGTAATATTTGTCAATTTACCACTCTGGAATGAAACAAAGGTGCTTAACGTGCGAATGCGCTTAGCATTCAAATCCTGCATATTAAACGTAGCTTGTTCTTGAGTAATACTCAACTGAATTCCAAACATTCTTTTTAAAAAGTATTTTCATTGAGAGATCAAATATGTAAGCAGATTTTCAAAACTGACTTGGCGTTGTGATTTCTAATGGTATTTAAGAATGATCAGTTGTCCTAAGTGATAAACATCTACTTTAAAAACGAGCATGTTATTTATGTGTATTCAAAAAGAATCCTTATTGCTTCATTTCATCATAGGTTATACAACTGGGAGAATTTAATACAAATTGCGTTCTCAGATAATTTAGTAAAGTTATTAGTTAATTTTGTAAAATCATAATTTAAAATTAAAACTTGTATAAAATTTCAGATTTAATATAAAAGTATAGTGAGCACTGCCGTGGAACAATTTCACACTGAGCAAGTCATTGGGAAAGTGTCTCCATTCAAAATAACTTGCAGAGAAGCTCACAGTCTCTACAAGAAGGGAAATGATTCGAGTCTAAAAAAAGCTGGTTCCCAGAAGATCTATGATTGGTGTCTCTGGGACCTGCCTGAAAAATTCCAGGGTGTTTTAGGATCCATGGGTACAGGACAGATTTGTAAAAACATGTTTTCTTGTCTATGAAAAAAAATTTTCTTAAATAACTCCTATTTTTTTTTTAATGCATTTCTGTCTCAAGTCAGTAGTTTTACCTAGAATTTCCCTCACTTTTTTCATCCACTTTTTCCTCTTTTTTTTTTTTTTTCCCTTGGTCAGATGGACCCTAACTCAATTTCTGAGTCCCTGTATGTTGGCTGCAAAATAAAACATGCATGACAAAATTTAAAAAAATCTTGCTTTTATTGCCTTAAAAGGCAATAAGATTGCAAATCTTTTTTTGTGAATCTGGACTTGGACTCTTGTTATACAGCTGTTTTCACATGAACATACAGAAATATATAAGATAATGATCAACGCCGAAAGGTTGGTTATATGGCCAGAGAAACTGAGGAAAGCCTGAACTGTTCTTTACTAAAGTTTTACATATTTTACAGTTATTTCAGATGAGTAAAATTATTCAAACAAAAGTAATATTTGGGTAATTACCTGGAATCCATAGAAATATACTTTAGCCTTACTTCTTTTTAAGTGCATTCTAAGGGTTTATTTAAATAATGTTATTTTACATTTTGGAGGGTAATAAGGATAATGATATACATGATCATAGATGTTACACATGTTAAAACCATTAGATTATCTGGTCTATCCTGACAACAGCACAGTTTCTTTCCTTAAAGCATATTCTTGGATGTTCTGTCCACTCCAATTTAACTATTGCATCTAACTGGGTCACTGAATCTTTATGCTACTAAACCATGTGCAGTATGAAGTACCAATTCAGAGTTTAGTGATGTGGTTAAAAAATCACTGGGGAGTAGGTCAAAACCAGCAAGGTTAATTTTACTTTCAACCTAATTCACGTTCGAAGTGCAGTTGTGGTAATCCTGTTATTGGAAAATATGGTATAGAAGTAATAGAAAAACAGACACTGGGGGCCGTATTCTGCCATCACTCCACATCTGAACCCCCTCCAAACAGCACTTAGAAAGCTGCTTGTGGGACAGGGGCAGACTGACCCTTCACTTTCAATTTTACTCAATACTATGTAGCAGTACACTTTCCCTTTAGACATATACACACAGCTCCTTCTGAAGAACACCGGTCTCATATTCAAAGAAGTTTGCTTTTTGTATTTATGGTTTTTTTAATCTTTTATGTCTTTAACTTTTTTAAATATTTTTTTCTTTTTTTCTTTCCTCCTCCTACCGATCAAGCTATCTGGCAGCATTTTGGATATATACAACAGCGATCAGGGAATGGCGCCAGCTAATATGGGTCTCACAAATGCTTCTTGCCCAGCTAACCTACCAGTAAAAAGGGAACTCACAGGTAAAAGAACTCTGAGATTTCAGTGTTTTATAATTGCAGAAGTGATGGTGTGTCTCTTAAAAGTTGAATAAATTCTATCCTATGAAATAGATGTCCATAATTAAATTCCACACAATTTTGCAGTTTGTAGTTTCATTTAAGGAAAAGAACAAAGACCAAGGAGAAATGTTTTATTTCTGTTCTCCTCTTTAGCAAATCAGAAACCATATTTGTAGGCTGTTTTTTATGAAGATCATACTCCTAATGAACCTAATTATTTTAAGAAACATAGTGGATTCTTCCACAGGTTGGCTCCTGATCAACAGCATAAATAAATTATCATCCATTAGATTTGTTCCAGAGTAGAACAAATGGTTCTTTTAAAACCTTACAATAAGGCTATTCAAGGTAAATCTATATTAGTGGATTAACAACTTTAAAAGTTACATTCAATTAATCCAAAGAATGTTAAAAATTATGTACAGTTTATTAGCGTCACTCAGAGGAAACAGTGAGTTTGTTCAAAATCTTACAAATCTGATTAACTCTTGCATTATGGGATATACAAATCCATATTCACGTTAACATATTGTAAGTTTTATCCTGATGTAAAATACAGCAAATTGGTGAAAAACAACCCTCCATGGCATTTCTATGTTCTTAAAAAAAGAAGTGCAATAAAAAAAATCTTAACCAACCTGCCAGACTAGCTCAAAATTTAGTACTAGCAGAACATAGATTTACTTATGATCTTGTTTAATAATAAAAAGAGTAATGAAGTAAAAAGACTAGAAGACTGGTCTTTGTGACAAGAGACCATTTTGAAATAGTTAAAGAAGTACTGGAATTGCAACTGAAGGACTATTTTAATAAATGTTACTTTCTGTCAGAAGCAGATACACGAGCAATGGCAAAGGAGAGACAAAAAAAGGATAACCACAATCTCAGTAAGTATATGTACACCTTCCATCTCATTAAATGTAATGTATGGGAAATGCAAAAATAATATACACTAGCTGCCACATCTCTGCTCTTCTTCTAGGTCAGCATCTTATCAGGGTAATCAAATTGAACTCAGTTCGCAAACAGCCAACCACAGAGCTTTCTTCCCTGAAATTAATTTCTGTCTGACTTATGTCTTTCAAAATATTTTGCATATTGTAATTAATTTCTTTCCATATCATCTCCTGCTACTACATTTTTATTCTACAGTTCTACGTGTATCCTGCACACTTTACTTGATGTTGTCTCTAAGATTTACAGTGCAAAACTGACAAGAAACGATGCAGGTGACAAAAAAACAACAGTGAAAATCCAGTCTTCACACCTTACTTACCGAAGCACCCAAGTGAGAGGCTATGTCTCTCTATGGGTGATGGCAAGGAAGAAAAAATGTACAGAGGGTATCAGACTACTTCTAAACGCTAGTTGAGCACTTAAAATTGTGGAAATTGTATGTCACAAGAGGAGGCTAGGGCAGGACTGGGTGAGACTCATGGTACTCTGACTCTGCTCTGATACACAAGCTCCCCAACCTCTGTAGACCAGGGTACACTTCTGCTTCCTGTACGGACAACAGTGCAACCATGTACAGAAGTCAGGCAGTTCAGTTCTAGAGGAATAGTCTTCTCTGGTTTAGGCTTAGAACATAGTGAAATTCATAGTTCAGTGTCTAAATATAAACAAACAACATTTTCGTTTCTCCAGAATAGAAATAATTTTTTTCTTTTATTGCTGAAAGAAGGTTACCTATAAAATTAGGCAATTTTTCCCTCTAAAGAGTAATTTGAAACAAAAAAGAACTTGAAGGATTCTTTTTGGAAAGTGCTGAATAAAGCAATTAGATTTTCCAGTTCTCCTTTCCACATTTTCCAGCAGAAATAGTCTGGGAATTGGACACGATCATCCCTGTGAGTCCCTTCCAACCTGAGATATTGTATGAATTTAAACCTAAATTGGTAATTAGTTAATAGCCACTATTTATATCTTTGTTCTCTTATTTATATCTTGATCTCTGCCTTATCCGGTAATCTGAAGAGAGATTTATGGCTTGCGCGAAATTATGTACCTGGAAGTATACATCCACCGGTACAATGGGCTAGCAACCACTGTGGAAGTCTGCTACTTAGACTTTCCAGAAGGCATTTTTATTTCTGTCTGTACATTTTTGTGGATTACAGACAGGCCACATAAATTTTTAGGCCTGCTGCTAGCACATCTTCTCTGAAGGGCCAGTGCAGCTGCTGCCTGTCTTGCTTGTGCAGGAATGGGGACTTTTTGCTGGACTAGGAGAGGTGGTGGGTAGGAGTTGTCTGGAACTGCAATGGGAAAGACAGGCGCACACATACATTAAGGTCTTACCATTGCCTCTGTTTTTTGTTTCGGCTCTGAGTTCATCCTTCCTGAACACAGAAGACATGTCTGAGAACTGTTCCTCACCACTGGCAACTGAGCTGAAGGCTGTATGCCAGGATGACAGCACACAGACATGCAACATCTCTTCTGGTTTGGCTCCAGGTGTATACTTCAGAGCTCTAAGTCACTCTGGAGATAGCTCTGCTACCTGATGGCTTGGACATATTCATGCATTACATATAATGGTTTTCTTAGTGTAATTTACTCTTTTATAAGTATCATTTTTTAAGAGATGATCTGAAAAATCAAGTTTTGGAATTTGATCAGAATTACACAAGCTTTCGTTTCAGGTTGAATTGTGGATGACAATTTACAGAAATGTTCTTGTACCTTCTCATACCAAGGAGCAGCTAGAAAAAAATTCCTTCTGAAAGATTAGATACTCAATGAAACTGTGAAAAGGGATTTAGATTTAAGAAATGGAGCCCGTTCTTCATGCAACAGCAAGATTTTAAGCCTTTACTAAATGTATTTTCTTGGGTTTGGGGTTTTTTTTTGTTTTGTTTCATTGTTTGGGTTTTTTTCCCAATAAAGAATTAAGGTTTTAATGTTTGTTTGTTATATGATCACCCTGTCCACGTAGTTTGAAAAATCATTTTCTGGTTTGGCTTTGGTATAATTTGATACTTGAAATGTTACTGATAACTCAGGATACCACTGGAACTGTAACAGACATGAATCAGGAAAGCTCTATTGAAACATGTTTCCAAGCTTCAAAATTTTCCGCTTAATTCACTAGCATAACCATCGGAAGTTGCTTTTCAGGAAAAACTACAAAAATAGAAAGAAAAAGAATTCTGCTTTCTTTGACTTGTTTTATAGCCAATGTTTAGTTGCCTACTTTTTGATGAGTATCTTGCAGAGCTTGTCCACACTGTAAATATTAAACAATAGCTATTATGCCATATGACTGCCTAGTTAATCCACATTCTTTGACTTTATTTGCCCTACCATTACTTTGCCAACAGAACTGAAATATATCTTTTAAATTGTTCAGATGCTATACGTTTTTGTACGCTGCGTCTCCTACGAGATCCAGCACGTTCACGCCAGTGGGATGCAAGGGGTCACTTAACAGTACACTCAGGAGGATTATAACCCTGTCTGCTGAATATGTGAATCACAACTACAAAACCTGAGATGCTTTTATCTGTTGAGTGAAAATCCTGTTTCTAGAGGAAGTAAGACAAGATAATATGTCTCACCAAGGCAGAGCACTTTATCAGGGTAAATAATAACACCTTGGGAGTTCACTGAGCTGGAGTCAGCTAGGGAGGAAATAACTGACTACTGTGCAAACCTAAGGACCTCACACAGGCAGGGAGAAAACCATTTTTATGTCTTGGAAGAAGTAAAGAACTAAAAGTGATCTATGTGGTTGGGCTGAGACTGAGAGCGATACAGTCGTATGACTGTGAGAAGATTGAAGTCAGCCTAGGAAGACGCACCAGGCTGTCCTTGACTGCACACTTCTAATTTAGCTCTACTGGGCTTTTTATGATTATATGCAAAATTAGAACATCAAACTTTAAGTGCATATCTCCGTACATGGATAAGGGGAGCATGTATCCATTCTGCCCATGTTCTAGGCTGGCCAGGTCTGGTCTGACAGAGTAGTGCCATTACCATATTGAGTCCAAGCTAAGTTCCTCCAAGAATCAAAGGATAAGAGAAACAACTCCGCGCAGTGCTAGTGATGGACCAACGCTGAACTCTGTCCATTCACTGAGGTTTGGATTGAGTTAAAGTACAGAGTGGAAGGAGTGGACAAAAGTGTGAGTTCATGCCAGCAGAACATCACTGCTGGTGTCTGACAGCTAGCAGTACCACAACGTGACTACGTTCTCACTGGAAAGGCTTTCTATGTCACAATTATGTACAAGAAATCCCCCAAAGTGATGAGATGTCCTTTGGGTCTATCCATTAGAAAATGCGAAGCTTCTGCATGTAAAAGTAGCTGGAGAAAAACTGGTGAGGAAGCAGAGGAGAATTCCCTCTAAATTAGTGAAGTGGGGGGCAGAAAGGTGACAGACCCTTTGTGCAGAGAAGGGTCATGCACTCCAGTCTGCATACCAGTATAATGCCGATAAAGTGAACTGAGAGCACAGAGAGGGGGAACTAATTTTAAGAGGCTTATCATCTCTTTTTTCCTTTCTAACTAAACTACAAGTCAACCAAGATACCATACACAGTTTATCTTAGTAGAAGCATAAATTTAAATATAGAAAATATTTTTTTATTGTTTAAATTATGTTTTTCTTCATATTCTGGGGGTTTTAAAAGTTATTGTAAACACTCTTGTGCTGTCCATCACCGAAGGAAACAGATAGGGATGAAGTATTTCCCGGACACAATCTTTCTCTGTTTCAGTGAAGGATATGGTTGCATTTATGATGTCTCTGTGGCTTGCAATGCTGATAATTGTAGATAAGGGATAGTGAGGCTGTTAACCGTGTTCTGTAGCAGGAGTTCTGCCAAAATGTGAAATGCTGGATGAGTTGTCTTGCGTCCCTGTTGGAGTGATCAGCAAAACTCCACTAAGCTGAAAACGCCGTTGTGTGGGAGCAGGGTGGAGAAAAGATGCATAGACATCAGAAAAAACCCAAATGTTAGCTCACGTTTAGACAATATGTGACTCTTTCTCTAGGAGTCTAGTTGTAAATGGGGGAGAAACCTAGAAGTAGGGTAAGATACAGAGATGGTACTAATCATGGAGTTTGTCCTGAGAGTAAGTCAGAGACAGGTAAGAGATCATGTTGGGACTTCTATTTGAGGAAGAAATTTTCTGTACATTGACTGACTTGTTTTTAACAAATTAAAATGTTTTACACTGAATTTCTCCAAGAATATTTCACCATAAAAATAGTAACTATTTCTTTTTAACAGTTGAGAGAAGAAGAAGGTATAATATTAATTACCGAATCAAGGAGCTTGGCACACTCATTCCCAAGTCTAATGATCCGTGAGTTCAACAGTCTTTCCTATAATAATGTTTATAGTTTAAATACAGGAAAAAAAAAAAAGAGACAGTTGCATATACTGGCTACAGGATTGAGTAATGGGATACAAAATCTTCCATGCCAGGTCACTGGCTCGGATCAGGCTGTTAAAGTAACAAACCTTTGACAGATTTTTGGTGCCTGTTGGGAAAAGTTATGTGAAAGGATAATAAAATGAAAGCACTTCCAGGGTGTTTAAGAGGGACTGCCACATCAGGCGAAAAAAACCAAAACCCAAACAAAACCAAAAAGAACAGAAAAAGAAGATAAGCCAAACAACAGAAAGTCCAGCTTTGTGTCCCTGGGAGCTATTGTGTGGTGTCTCCGGAGAAGGAAGGAGTCAGTGATGCTCTCAGCCCTTGCCTTGGGCCCTCTAGTGGGATAAAACAAAATGCGTGTTGCCACTGCCCTTTGCCTAAGAGAAAAAAAAAAGAACTCAGCTTAAGAGTCTGTAGAATGAGCATTTTTCAAGTCCTCCACTCAGTGCAGGGAAAACAACAGTCCTAAAAGGCAAGGATAAACATAATAATTGCTATAACTGCGATAATAATATCATTTTATACTAAAGCGTACCCTTACAGTAACACAAAATGCATATTGCTTAAACTATACCTGCATTCCCTTAAATCTTATATTTGTCATCGATATGAAAAAAGCTACCTCGGTAGGAAAGCCTGTTGTAGGATTAGCGATAACAATTCAGTGTGATATTTAATGTTAAACTTTAGCCATAGATTTCTCATGTCACTCAGGGAAACCTTAAGACCGTGCACTAGCATGATTGTGACTCACGTAAAATTAACTATACAGATTTTGTCTTTATCATTTGCACATCAATACAGGCTTGCATGACACTTCAAATGTAAATATCTATTGATATTTCAGCCTGTTTTTTTTTTTTTTTCCTTTGGACTAAGAAACTTTTGATTGTATTAAGGATTTCTATAACAATATAAAGCTGTGTGAGACTTACAGAAGTACAAAGTTGGAATAACAAGTCACTGGGAGTGAAATCACCAGAGAGAAAGTTAACATACTGCATCCATTTTAGAGAATTCACCAACTCAGCTCCTTCTACAGCATCCACCCAAGATTAGATAAATGGGCATGTTCTTGTTATTAATATAGAGATGGGTATTACAGCTGAGTTAAAATAAGAAGTGCTTTAAGTACCTAAACAAAGTTTTGGCCACATGTGATCCATTGCAAACACAGACCGGTAAAAGATTTTTAATTTTGCTGGTGCATCTTTCAGTATTCAAGATCGTTTGGGCAAATAACTGAAAGATTTCTCAGAAAAACAGTGGATGGCACTGTTGGTTTGCAGCTATAAAGCAATAATGGAAGCAAGTTATACTGCAATTAGAAACAGGCATGAGGTACAAATTCCAGTTGTGATTTTTGATTGCCTACAGAGGTGTTTCAGTTACATGTTTTGGTCTGGACTCAGGCTGAGTTTATGAACTTGCTCAAAACATTAATACCTAGAGCAATCACACAAGCTCTTCTTAAAATGAATGACCTGGACATATAATTTTGCTCCAGTGGATTTTACCGACCAATTTTGGTGGTGTTGCCTGTTGAAAAAGTTTCAGGTATAGATCCTGAAGACGTCGCCTTTTCTTGTTTTAGTCTGCAAACTCATGACTGAGTTCAACAGGGTGACAGCCCCGGAGTGGCTTATGTTTACAAAAGCACAAGGTGAACTTAAGTGTCTCACGTTCAAGGACTGCTGTCTTCAAAAGTCTGGTAATCAGTAGTCCTTTTGAAAATAGACTTATTTAAAAGCTTTCAAGTTGGTGTTAAGAAAAAAGAGGCATGAAAAGGTGCGGGGTGCTTTTGAAAAACTAGATTGTAACATAACTTTGCTATAGCTTGCTGCCAGGTTAAATTAATCCTAAGAAGTGTAAACACTTTTTTTTTTTTAATATTTGTAGGTGGAAATACATTAATTTGACCATGTTCTTTTGTTGGTTAAGCAGATCAAAATTATTATTTCTTTCTGGTATCGTCCTGTGTTGCCAAATCATAACTCAGTGCCCTTACCCTCTCTTTCAGTTCTTGCTTTTTCCTTCATAACACCTTACTGTGCCCCCAATCTGCCCCTTCTTCTTTGAAAGAAAGAGATGTATCATCTCTTACAATACTGTATCTGTAACATTTTGTCACACACAGCATTTTCACCTCATATATTGATTTTAGAAGATTCTTCTTATAGTGGGAACTTAGCTGTAAAAGTAAGGAGAAACCTTACTGATGCTTGGACTAATGGCAGTGAAGTAAATCAGCCTTTGCATTGAAGAGCAAATACCGCTATAACTAAGCCATTGCGGTTAGCATGCCTGTCCCAGATGGCTTGCTTCAAGAAGATTGCATTCAGGCTCAGGAAGAGAAAAGGACATTTTTGATGCTATTTGGAAACCTTTTATGATTTATATTTCTTAGAAGTGGTGTGTGGGGTTTTTATTTCACTTTTGTTTTGTTAGTTATATCGTGAACATGTTTGGCTCCTGCAGAGCTTCCGCAGGGACTTTCTTTTGACTGACTTAAACCCCTATTCTTCTCACTTTTTTTTTTTTTAATTTAATGATGAAAAGTGTGGATTACATTGCTTAAATGAATGGGTGTTTTAAGTTCACTTCATCAGCGTTAGAAAATGGAGATAAGTATAAGTTGCAAAGAACTTTGGCTCTTTTGTTTAATTTTCAATGCTTAGATACCCAAGTGGTAGATGATTCAGAAATGCAAAACAGTTATACAGAATAATTCAAGACCAGAATGAAAAAAAAGGCCCAAAACACCAGTTATATTTTGCTGAAAGACTCATAATTTGCTCCTTTACGTATACCTACCTTTCCATTCATGGTTCTTTTGTGTTCAACCTTTCAGAACCCACCTTTCAGGTGGTTAACAGGACTTTGCGTTGTGATGGAGTCTGGCAGTGCCTGTGCAAGAACGGTAGCCGGACTAGAATTGTCAGAAATACTAAGAAGAAAAAAAATCTTTCCTTTAAGAATTCTAGTCATTTTACAGAACTGGGATGTTAAGAGAACCACTGAGGATTTGGGCAGAAGCAGTGGGCTGCTCTCACTCTCTCCTCTCTGCTCCCTGCATCTGCCTGTGCCTGACCTTCTCTCTGTTGACTGTGGACAGACCCGTTAGCGACCAGCACGGCCACGTTTCTTGTAAAGGAAAAGCTTGTGTACACTCATGCTGTTATAAAGTGGAATCTTGCTGCCTCTTTCAGGAGAATACACTTTGTAATTGTGCAGGTCATCAAAACAAGTACAAAGTCCTTCAAAGTATTTCTTTGAGCAAGCACAGTTTACAGCTGATTTCTCAGAAACAGGGGAAGAAATGGTCTGCAAACATAGTTTTAACTTCAAAATATATGTGTTTTTAGTAACCACTCTGTGACTGGCAAACTCTGTGGCTATCACCCTCTCCCAAACTCTGTTTCCATTAAGTTTTAATCTTAGATGATCAGATACTCTCATCCTTCCTACAGGAGTTCAACTTGTATAAACTAGTGAAGCTCCTTTGACTTCAACAAAGTTATCTTAATGGAAATGAGCTGAAGGTCAGCCTCATGGCTACGTTTCTTTCCTCCTAAACGAGAAACTCTCCTAGGTGAGAGTTACACGTTTTGATCTGGGCATTTGAGATTTGTAGAGAGATTCAGCTGGCAAAGTTAGGAGGAGCTCGAGTTCAGAGGCTAATAAAACATAATGTGTTTTTTACACATTTGCTACTTTTCCATGCAAATCATGTTAGGTGTAGTAGAACTCTGTTAATTAAACTAGATAACACGTGTAGCTTGCTAAAAATTTCAAATTATTGTACCACATGCACACACAGAGACAAAGACACAATTCTCCTTTGCAGAGGTCATTGCTGATGATCAGACCTACAAAACTTCTTACTGCTCTCAACTGACTTGTTTCACATGTAGAATTTCCCATGTGTTTCAGTATTTATAGGGTGGAGCCTTACATGCATACAATAAAAATGAAGAATAAGGAAAAAAAAAAAAAAACAAGAAAGGAATGAATAGACAGTGAAAGAGTAAAACGAAAAATCCTGCTGTCTCCAGACTAGTTGATCTGTATCTAACTTAGTAGGTTCAAAACAGTTATGAATGCAACTCTTTTGTCTGTTTCTATAAAGTACTTTCCAATAAAATGACTGACAACTGCCAGTGGCTGCGCAGTTTTTAAAGGTTCCTAAATGAGTTTGTAGGCCTTGTCATTTCAAATTTTATCTCTATTATATACTGAGCAAGCACAATATATAAATCTTTAAAAAACAAACCCCACAATTTCTTAGTGCCTCTTTCATCGTTTTTCAGATAACTTTGTTTGCACCCAATTTAGAATTCAGCGTTTTCAGAGAAATAACAGAAAATCAGTAACTGCTCAGAGAACTTCTGAATTGTTTAGGCATGTGCTGTGCTTCGATGTAGTCCAACATCAAATCCTGAGGTGTTATTTTCTTCCCGTCATAGACGAATCTGCTTGCAGAGCTGGATGCATTGCAGACTACTGCTATGCGGGCACTTCCTCCGGTCTCCTCCCCCCATTTACCTTCATCTTCACAAGTTGGGTTGCTACTCTTCCAACCCTGCACCTCTGCACAGGGCCTCTCTTTCTCCACAGCACTGTCCTGTGACTGCTGGGTGGTGCTCTGGGCTAGAATGTGTCTGCGATGAAGAACCAGCACAGACATCTTCAGTGTTTTCTTTGCTCCTGGTATAAATAGAAAGACATGGAGTGAAAAACACGTCACCAGCTGATCCTTTGCTCTGTTTCCTTCAGACATTGGAAGATTTAACCTCAATGTTCCTCATTTAATAAGACACCAACCAGTATATGCATATATGAGTAGAGATGGAGAAGATATGTGGGATATGAGCGCGCGCACACACACACACACACACACATAAAATAAGAGTTTCTTAAATGATAATTGTAATCACAGCATTTTCACCCTAGAGCTCGTTTTACCTCTCAAATTTGTAAATATTACCACAAGAGATATCTATCCATATGTATCTCATGCGGAAGCTGCCCAGATCCATCTCTCTGGCAGTTTGAATCCAAGAATTAGCCCTCCAGTGAAGATTTACTTCAACCTATGAGAAAAAATATCATTACCATATACATAAAAATTCAAAATATTAAGGCAACATGAACTAAAAGTAAGCAATATCACAAAGGCTGTCAGTTATGTGTAACATGAATGTATTTAATCACAAAAAGATTCCAAATACAGTCATGAATATATGCCTTATTCATATGTCAACCAGTAAAATTAATCAAAATATTTTTGTCTGAATTTAATTTTGAATTCATAGCATTTTATAACTGACATGAAATTGTTTGTGAAATCACTATGACATATTTGCCAAATATATGATATATGTGTATTTTTCTCCTGCTGTTACACGTCTTAATTATTTCCATTTTACCAGTTATGGATTCATTTCTAATTTCATAGTACTACGTTTTTATGTTCAGACCATCGGTCCAAAACTGGCTTAGTTTTGTCTTAATTACATGCTAGGAGGAGCTGAACCCCCTTGCCTAGGCAGATCGTGTTTCTCCAGGGTTATAGGTATCCTTATTACTGCAGCGCTTTTCAAAGTTGCTGTGAAAATGTCCTAAATCCGTCATTTTCACTTGAAATGAAACAAGAACCTACTGTAATTCAGAGCTATATATAGCACATATAGCTCGTATCTGAGATGGAAGTGGAGATTCCCAGTTTGAAGTGTTGTTGTCCCCCTAACTTTAGCTACTTCTATTTATTCAGGAGTGCTCTGATGTAGACAGACAGGCACCTTGCTGCAATTCAGGTGTAAATAGGGACCTCCCCATATTTTACCTATCTTTCCAAAAAGGTCTGAAGAAAACAAGATTATAACATCATGATGGCAGTCAAAGACTTGTCCAGAAAATGAATGTCCTGTGTACTAAAGACTTCCTTAACCTTTACAGTTTGAACACAGGTATCCCACATGCGAGGAGAAAGTCCTCTCCTAGGAGGGGGTCCATGGGATGCTGGCAGGAAAATGTTCTGGCCTCCCACCTGGGCAAGAAGCACGGGGAGGGGAAGGAGGAGGCAGAGGGAGTGCCAAGAGATGATTCAGCTGTCATGAGGAAGGCAGGTTTGGCTCTTGGCTTCCAGTCCCACCTCTGCCTTACTTTTTTTGACCAGTGTAGATGAAAATACATACCCACTTCAGCAAGCAGCCTCTGATATTTTGGCTTTGCAGACCGCAGGGTCTGAGACAGTAATTATTTTCTCTCTGACCTCATCACCTTCTAATCCCAAAAGCTGTGCATTCCTGGCGCACATCCCTGAGATGAGGTCCCAGTGTGATGGAGCCCTGCGGTTTGTGTGCTGCCCAGAGCAGAGAGAGATATGAATTTGAGCCCTCTCTGATCAAAAAGCTGGTTCTCCCAAATCTATACCAAATTACCTAAATTCTAGGATATGGTTAAACACTGTGATCCTTTATCACAAATAATTTTGCGTATTCTTCTGAGCATCTTTAAAGCAATCAACTCCATAAGGTTTTATCCCCAGTACAGTGCATCAGAAAACACCAGGAGATCCGGGTCCCTAAGTCCTGTACGTGCCTGGCTTTTGCCCTTTACCTTTGGTAGGAAGACAACTGCCTTGGTGGAAGTCTTTAAGGGTGCTTAGCCTTTGGGTAAGGGCGCAAGGTTCCTTAGGCACTTAGACTGAGAGGCTGAATGTAAAGTATAGACACTTCTGCAATAAATTCACTCCAGGTCAGTTTTACTCACCGTAAGTGAGCATGTGAGTAGGAGTAAGTCTCATTAACTGAAACAACCAAGGAATAATGGAAAGTGATGATTGACCGGAGTATAATTTATGTTTCTTTTTGACTCTATAAATGCCAGTATGTAAGTATGGGTACTAAAAAGATAAATACACTAAGGTGGTTGCTTGTCACTCCCAAACTCAGATTCTTACTGGTTTAAATAGCTTTTTCCTTCTCAGGGCTGTTTTATAGGAGCAGAACCTCTGTCAATCTTCTGCTCCGTCTAAGCCATCTTGCAGTGAAGTGGACAGTTTGGATAACTGTATATTTAATGCAGAGGGCCCATCCTGTATCATAAAATACTGAACTTTTTTAGAAATTAAACATCTTCTACAAATTTCATTCGTGCTCCAAGGCCTCCAATACCTTACATAGAGTACGTGGAAAGCTGATAAATGGGTACATGAAAGTCCTTGAACCGATGCATTTGAATAAGTATATTTTTGTTAGTAAGACCGCTTGTAAGTTGGAAGTTAAAGCATGATTTCCTGAATGACGGGCAGTTTTAATCTTATTTTTTTTGCAAGGCTTTTATTTTGAGTTGGAACCTGCGTGTAGCCATGGATTTTAACTTGGTTTATATTGTTCCAAGAGTTTTGAACGGGTTTTTTATCATTCCATAGCCATTATGGTTACGAAAGTATGATTTGTCTGGTCTATCATCTATGAGGCGTGGCATTCAACACAGACCATTTTTTTTCTCCGCAAGCATAAAAGCAACCTCATCAGTAAGTCAGGTAAAAAGAGTAGTATATTCAAAATGATCTTTAAAAATTTAGGCTTAAGTCCTCAGTAATGTATATTTCCTAGTTCATTAATGCAGAAATACTGCACATAGATTTTAATCTTAGAGTTAATAATAAAAGCAATTTTCACTAAAAATATAAAAACTGTAATGGTAGAATCATGATATTGCATTTAGCTCTCCCACAAAAAGTCACTTTATTACTTTCTTTTGACACTTATTTTCATTCTGGGATTAATTTTACTATATAAGGGCTTCTTAACTATTCTATTAAAATTTCCATTCAGAAGCAATAATATCTAAGAGTGAATAATAGTCATGTAAATCATTATTTCATATTAATGTAAAAGATTTTGTAAGTTCTTATGAATTCTGCTGACATGCACAATTGTGAAAAGGTTATCTCTACATTCTGCAGTGATATGCGCTGGAACAAAGGAACTATTTTAAAAGCATCAGTGGAGTACATCAAGTGGCTACAAAAAGAACAACAGAGAGCCAGAGAATTAGAACACAGGCAGAAGAAATTAGAGCATGCTAACAGAAGACTTCTACTCCGAATTCAGGTTTGTATAAGAGCATCGCCATGAACTACAAAGCTTTCTCAGTACTTATCCCTAACCAAATTTTATTAATCTGTATCATTTTTCCCCAAATGGCATTTATTAAAAATGAATTGACTTTCCCTATTTATTGCTGTGTATATTGGGGAGGAGGTATTTTTTAGATTTCCAGGAAATTCCTTTGATAATTAGACATTACATAAAGGAATACATGGGAAGTTAATAAAGTATTTGTACAAACCATTTCCTTACATATGTATTAAAGCCAAAGGAAAACAAAAAGGAAACAAAAAAGTATATCCCTGCAGCCAAAAATCAATACTAGACACAAAATTCCCTTCAGTATTTTCATTTTCCCTTTGTAACATTTCACACGTTACACTTCCTTGGGTGTAGTGTGCCGTGTTATATCTACTTGTGACATGAAGCAGTGGAATATAGCCCTGCATGGCTTGAAATGCAAGATATGAATATAGACACGTATGAAGAAGAGATAGATAGACAGACATACACACGTAAAATCAATCATCTTATGTATGGTGCTTTACACATATATCTGTTTATCATAAACATCATCAAGTAAGTGTCTTCTCTTTCTCCAGCTGGCAGTGGATAACGAACTAGAAAGTTGCAACATTTTTCTGTCACCTTTATTTGGTTCACTATGCAATGTTTTTAGAGAGGCTGTCCTACCTCTTATGTTCCCGTAGGACATTTGCTTAAAGATAGGAGGGCAAATAAAAAGAAAAACATTCAAGTGGCAAATTTTTGTAGATTAACAATTTCATATTTTAAAATGTAGTCTCACAACTGGATGAAAGGTTTAATTAATTTGCATGTATGATTCATATAGCTATTGCAACAGCTCTGAAGACACTGTTTGGTCTTTTAAGGTCATTATCTAATTGGCTTTTTTTGAAATTTTAGGAATTAGAGATCCAGGCCCGTGCACATGGCCTTCCAGTCATGTCTTCACTCAGTGCTGTCGATTTAGCTGCACAGGTCATCAAGCAACAGTCTTATCCAGAGGAAAGCTCTGTAGACTACTCTCAACAAATGCCTTTGGCACATGGACCAAATTCTGATGTTTGCGATGGATCTACAGCCTTTTCTGATCCACTTTCACACTTTACGGATTTGTCCTTCAGCGCAGCTTTGAAAGAAGAGCAACGGCTAGAGGAAATTTTACTGGATGACACGGTGTCACCATTTGGAACAGACCCACTCTTGTCCTCTGCATCCCCAGCCGCATCGAAAGAGAGCAGCAGGAGAAGCAGCTTTAGCACAGACGATGGAGATGATTTATAAAAGCAGAAAGGGCCTCATACTTCTCTAAACCACTTGCTAAAATACTGAGTTGAACGTAAGCATGGTGCTTGTGCTTACTATAAACACGAATAAGGAGAGCCACTGTGAAGATAAGGTACTACATGACAAGGGTTTAAGTCAGCCCTTACTTCACAGGAAAATGAGATGGACATGAACTCGTATCACCTTGCCCCAGATTCACACCCTCTGTTCACAGCTGACATTTGCACAGATCTTTCTGCACTGGGAACGTTTTTACTATCATTCCATGACTTTTTGTAGCACTAGGAAAATGATTACCACAAAAGGAATACCCATGTTACAAAAGTATATTCAAACTCTCTCTTCAAGCTGCATTCACTTTTCTCTGCAACAAATACAAGTTTTAGTCAATTGTTAATTTCTTTTTTTTTTATATAAGTAAAAATTCTACAAAACGTGAAGCAACAGGGAACTATTTAAGCTGCGGACTGTAGAGATGTTACAGGTTCCAAAATCTGAAAAAACAGACAATAACGCTTTCGCACAAGTGAAGTGAGCATGAAATTTAACGGTGTAGGCTTCTCTTTAAAAGGAGAAAATCCATTAAGCTTTTCATGGAATTCCATTTTTTTTTAAATTTCATTTGTAGGAAAAGAACATACTTTTAATATATATTTTAATGATACAGAAGAAAAATGGAAACTAACATAATGACAGAGACTCAAACGAACTCAGACAGAAAAAGAGAACACAATTCAGCAGAAAGGGTGTATGGATGTCCCAGACTCAACAAAGATGCTCCGTGTTACAATTAGCACAATTTAGAACAAGCACTGCCAGTAACAGTGCTAAGTCAGCTGCTTACTCCAAGAATATTCAAACTGTGTCCTTTTTTGTGTGGAAGAGATCAGAATTCAAAGACATGACAGTGTGCTTCTGGACAATGCTTTTAGTATCCTTTGGCAGCACAGTAAGGTTTTTCCAAAGGAACTCTACTTTATCCATGTGCATGCCTTTGATCCGTTTGGAAACCAAGGGAAATGACAAGATTGCCATTGCATACACTTGAAACAAAGAGAATCTAATTTCATATTTGGCTTTGGATTCACTAAGGAAAGCTGAAAGGAAGACTTTTCAAACTGAAGGGGATATTCAGAAGTGTTAATGCGATGCTCTGCTTCTCATAACAGGCTTGCTAGGAGGGGGCGTTCAGATGTTTTGATGACTCAGTAAAGACTTGGCAGTTAGAGGGCAGGTAGAAGGTGTATCATTTCTATACGTAGTGAAATTCTGGAGAGTGGTGTGTGTTCCTGGAGGACATTAAGTACAATCATTCTAATTGTAATATTAATACATGGGAGAATAAGCTGGCACAGGTTCTTCTTAGTTCTTCCTCAACCAAAGCCAAAAGATCACATTAGGGAGTTCTCCAATGATTCAAAACACGGTCCAAAAGTGTGTTTTAATTTTCCTGTCATTGAGCCTGCCTCACACCCCAGAAGTGTCACAGGATCAGAAATAGCACGAAGAGATTAAAGTGGATTGTTGTTTGTGTGAACATTTCAAATGTGTTTAACATCTTATCCAAGAACAAAGCAATTGTTTCTTCCCATTGCCCCTTCTGTTGTTGGTACCTGGGTCCTCCTCCCAGTCTTTGTGAGGTTTGTGTTCCTCCAGGGCCGTAGCCCATTCCTGACCAACCCAGATCATGTCACGATAGTTTCTTAATTGGAAAGTTAGCGGTGGGATAATAAACTACATCAGGATGGTTATGAAAGATGGTGGAGTATCCAATTTCACAAGAATATTTATGTTTTTAGGAAAGTCAAGGATTCCTATGAGCCTGTGCAAACTACTTGGATGTAAGATGAACAGAGCAGAACTGATCTTTTTGTTGCATATGTGTGGGTTCCCAGATAGCCCAGTACACACCTGACCCTCAGAAGAGGCTATGATATGCTTCCACTGCATGGTTAAGAATAATAACCACAACAAACAGGGTTCTGGTAATTTTCTTTTTTTCTTTTCTTTTTTTTTTTTTTTTTTTTTTTTTTTTGGTGGCATGGAGGAAAAAAATGGAAAGACAAATGAGTATTAACCAAAGGTAATTGAACATAGGACTGATCAGCATTTTAATTGGAGTGCTTCTATAAATTAGACTCGTTAAAAGAGGAATCACTTTTTCATACTTTTGCCAAAGACTAGCTAATATTGACATTTGAATACAAAATATGATGAATTAAAAGTAACATTTATGCCCACATTATGACTAGTGTAGGATGCGTATTGTCCATTTCGGCTGATGAATCGAAAGGATACTTCGTTGATATCAAATGCCATTTGTCCTTGTACTGCAGTTTCTACTACATTAGTTTTAAATACACCAGTGTGGATTGCTCATAATGGAGAAAAAGAAATTAAATATGAATGTATTACATGATTTTCCCATTGAACTTTTACATGGGAGTTAGCCCGTACTTCTGAACTATATTGACTTTAAATAACATCCTGAATTTCATCACTTTTATAAGCACTGTTCTAAAAAAACATTATAGTGCATCCATTAAATTTTTTAAAGTTGATTTTCATTCTTCTGACAATTGCTTCAATCTGAAACACCAGATTTCTTTTTCTCTTCCTACATGAGAAACTTAACAGAAGATAGCGAATGCTCCTTTTGCCATATACCATATTGCATCTGTCATTAAACATGTGCAGCTGTCTTCATTCACACAAAATCCCCAACACCCTTGCCCAAAACACTAAATGTATCCATACTTGTAGGTGTATATTATGACAATGTTGTTTCACTACCGTTACGTGTTTTTTTTTTCTGGTAGGAAGTCACCATAAGTAGTATTTTAGCTAATAACCTGTATTACAACATCACTCTTGAAATGAAATGGTGGTACAGGGTGCAAGAAACAGTAAACCAGGACATTCTGGGGGTGAATAGGTGGTACTGAAGGGATTTAGGAGATGTGTGTGCTGGTAACCATATCCCAGACTTTCTGGAGTAAGCAAACCCTCTCCCACCCCAGGTTTGGTGAGGCTGCTATGAAGCTGAGTGTTAGAGCAGAGCACGGTCCGACCAGCTTGCACAGACCGAAGGGATTTCATGCCTGCAGGGACAAATCCTGACGTCCTTCATCAGGCAGAATTTCTTTGCCGTCCATGTGAGTTTTATTGGACTAAAACGTGGTGCAAGGGAAATACGCTTTTTAGCTATTTCCTATAGACATCTGTTTAGTGAAATCTTATGAAAGAGATGCATAATATGTCTGTGGCTCTGGGCCTAGAAAAGAATTAAAAAACTTACAGAGTTTGACCTCAAGCAGGGCAGGGGGTGAGGGGAACTGGCTATTTTTGTCAAGATATATTAAATGAGGAGTTCTTGCTTGTTTTCAGTAGCAGCTGTTCAAAGCTGGTGGACACGTTCCTACAGAATACACAAAACAGCGGACTGATAATTACACCAAAGGAAAGGGAGTTGAAATATTAACATCCTGTTTAATTCATGAAATGGATATAGATACTATATATACTAAGAACAGACACCTAAATTATTTCATTCCGCATAGCGTGGATAGTGTGAAAAGCTACAGTAAGTGCAAACAGTTTTAACAAACACGAACTCAGTTGCTTTATATAGTAAAATAACTAAATATAATTCAGTCATTTAATCTTAATAAGAACATTGTTATTACAATACCTTTTGACTTTAATAGGGCTGTATATATGAACGGAAGATGTAAAATTATTGTAATTTAAAATTACGCTAAGTCTCTTAGATAAGTAAAAGCATTTACATTACTATTATGAGACTGTAGAATATTTTTTTAATAATTGCTATTTTTCACTGTTAACCATACAGTATCTTGTTTTCTAAGTCAATGTATGCAAACAGAATGTACTTTATTACGCACTGTACATGCAATCTTTTTAAAATTACATTTTATACATGCCAGTATTTTATGTTTATTATATGAATACAATTAAAGGTCTGAAATTAAAACATCTCTTTATATGTCCCTTGTGAAACTTCACTATCCGGTCCCTCAAAGAGTGCCATCACAAGGCAATATAATAACATCCGCTAAGAACATCTGAGATACCTAACAGACAAAACACTTCACAACTGCTAAACATTTAGTCCATTATGATACATCATGATCCAGTAGCCTCCCATTAATAAAAATAATTGATACATTCTTTAATACGGTCTCCTGAAAAAATCCTGCTGCTAGGGCTTTGATTTATGGAAAGCGTTTTCAGAATGTTGCAAAATTGCTAGCAGGCATGATGATATCAGTTAAATCACTAAGAAGCTCTACAAAAACCTTTTAATGTACTAGATGTTCCCCAGACAATCTAGGATAAACAGAATATTGTATTTTAAGATGCAAAACATTTTTTTAAAGCTGATAATTAGGTAGCATTTGGCACTAAAAGATACTCTTACTTAATGAATTAAGTAAGGATTCGGGTTGCATTTTGAATTCCTAATATCAAAAGTGCTGCTTTCTTTAGAAGACATTTGGTGCTTTCTGTGCATGAAATGATGCAAAAGTTGTTGAGTAGTAATATATGTTTCAGCTATAGTTTTGTAATAGTTCATTGTTTCATGTAAAATAGTGCTCATTGTTTGTATACATTGGATGATAAACATTCTATTTGTAATAAAGATGTTCTCCAGGCTCTTTATTTCATCAAATCATTAAGACACCCCTATCAGTATTAAAACAGAATATTATTATAAATATTATTTAAAGTTCAATGATTAACCATGGAAAGAAACTTTGCTTTTTTACATATTTATTATGTACTTAGGATTTGATCATAAAAGGTACTCGGCTCCTTTGTGAGGGACTGAGAGCCCTCAGTTCACTTGGAAGAAAGGCAATGCTGAGCCTGTTGCAGACTCAGACACTTAATGATTAAATAAACAGCGCCAGAAAATACAATCAAAAGTTATTTCAGAGATTAGAAAAGCACTATATGATACACTGCTTGATTAAAAATAGTGGTATTTCCAGTTGACAGACAAACAGATTTAATGTCAGCATCATTTGTACTGACAACCAATGGGAGATTAAAGGAAAATGTATGAAGTTGTGATAATAATCAGAGCAAAAGTCTAATTATGAAGGAGGTTGCAGCAGCAAAGTATGCTAAGGCTTATTGGTTAAATCACTGGTAGCCATCAAGTTAAATGTATATCAGTTTCATTAATTGGCAACCACAAGACAAGTGTTCTATATTCAGG